CTTTGAGTCTAGGGGATGGTGCTTTCTGGGGAGCCTAAGAAGCCAATGTCTGGGCAACTTCCATCTGCCTTTTTGGAACATAAAAGAACTAAACCAAATGATACCTGATCCGAGACCCAGCGTCATGTGTGTGCCCTGGTGGGACATACCTACAGTGTGCTAGACACCCTGGGTTTGCTTGTGGACCCTTCAATGACAATGACAGGGCCTCAGCCCTCCAAGCTCTCACTGATGACTGTGCTGGTGAAAGTTAGTGGGAAGTGAGTGTGCTTGCAGTCCAAGTGACGGGCAGGTTGTTAGGGTTGCCCTAAGGGGAGGGGGACATTAAAGCTGAGTAGGGAGACAAAGGCATCAAAGGCCCAGGATATGAGGGGAACTTGGGGGGATCTGGAGGGAAGGGAGTGTGGAGGTGGCAAGTGAGGCTGCAAGAGCAGGTGGGGGCCCAGTCATGAAGGGCCACTACTCTGGAGTGACAGTTTGAGTCTGGGCCTGCCCTCTAGCAAATGGGCGGAACCTCTGAACCTGGATGCTGATCCCCAAACCCATAGAAGCCTGCTGCCCTCAGTCATTCCACTTCAGGGTGACCCCATGTATTACATGGTAGAACTGAGTTCATAGGTATGCTCTTATCTGTCTTCTTTACAGAAGCAAATCACCAGGCCTTTCTCGTTCGGCACCAGCTGCATTTGAACTACTAACCTTTTCTTTGGTAGCTGAGGTCAAGCTGTGTGCACCACTAGGGACCTAAATAGATATTCCAGCCTTCCAATGTGCCCCTCTGCCCATAGTTTCCTCCAGTATTAACTTCTTTCCTTAATGTTGTACATTGCTACAATTGATGTCCTCATATTGATACATTAAGTTAGCTTGTATATTAATACATTATGGATACATTGCTCTGCACTAAAGCCCATGGTTTACCTGAGGGTTCTTTTCATGCTTTGTATCGCATCATCCTGTAGGTTTTGGCAAATGCCTGGCGTCCCACCACTGTAAACGAGCTCCTGGGTTCTGCCTCTTCAGCACCCTCCTAAGTCCCTGCAAGCCTTTCTGAGAGTGGCCTGTAATTGGAGCCCTACAGGAGCTAGCTAGCCTGCACTTAGTCATACTGCATTCAAGAGTCACTCAAGTGTCACAAATTAATGGTGACCTTTAATTACAGTTTGTTGGTCAGTAGCTTGAAGGCATTTGCATTGTTCCAATTTGGGGCAGTTATGAACAAAACATGTATGTAGGTTTTTATATGACCTTAAAATTTCTCTCCTGGGTCAATTCTAAGAGTTTGAGTGCTGGCACGTGCAGTTTAAGAAATTTGCCTATCTGTTTTCCAAAGTAGTTGTTAACACTTTTGCATCTCCACCAGCAGTGTGTGAAAGTTCGCATTTCTTCTCCTCTGTGTCAGCACTTGGTATTGTCCCTTTTTAGTTTTAACTTGACAGGTGTGTAGTCTGCATTTCCCTGATGATGTTGAACATCTTTTCATGGGCTAATTTGCCATCTGTACACCTACTTTTGGTGTGGTGGTGTGGGCTAATATGCTGGACTGCAAGGTCAGTTTGAACCACAAGGTTGGCGGTTCAAGCTCATCAGACGCTCTTCAGAAACCCTGTACAGGGTCGCTATGGGTCAGAACTAACTCAACAACAACATACCTTCTTTGATACAGTGTCTGAACCTTTTGTCATTTGCTTTCTTACTATTAGTATTTGAGGGGTTTTGTTGTTGTTTCAAAAAAAAATACAAGGGAGTTTCAAAAAGTTTGAGGGAAAAGGCCATTTTTTATTCCATTTTCCACAAACTTTCTAAAGCCCCCTTATGTATCCTAGATATGAGTCATTTTTCAGATACATGATTTTCTGACTTTTAATTCTCATTATCATAAAGCAAAAGTTTGTGATTCTGAGGATGTCCAGTTTATCACTTTTTTCTATTATTGATCAGCTTTTGGTGTCATAGCTAAGAAATCTTTTACTCACTGAGATTGTCCCCTGTTCATGTTTGGTGCCATTGAGTCAGTACCGACTCATAGCGAACATAGACTGAAACACTGCCCGGTCCTGCGCCGACCTTGCAATCCTTGATACATTTGAGCCCACCGCTGCTGTCACTGTACCATCCATCTAGCTGGGAGTTTTTATCTTTTTCTCTGACCCTCCATTTTTCCAAATGTCTTCCTTCCATATTCACTGTCCAACTTTCACATGCATAAGAGATTATTGAAAGTACCGTGGCTTGGGGATGGGCACACCTTAGTTCTCAAACTCACATCTTTGCTCTCCAACACTTTCAAGAGGTCCTATGCAGCCTAATGCAATATGTCATTTGATAGCTTCACTGCTGCTTCCATGAGTGTTGATGGTTGAGCTAAGCAAAATGAAGTCTTTGACACCTATAATCTTTTCTCCATTTATATGGATGTTTATTGGTCCACTGGTGAGGACTTTTGTGTTCTTTTCGTTGAGGGACAACCCATATTGAAGGTTGTGGTCTTTGCTCTTCATCAGTAATTATTTTAAATCTAATGTTTCTCCTAAAAGTTTTACAGTGTTATGGTCTAGAACAGGGATCACTAAGGCCTGTAGGCCAAAAGGTCTTTGTTGCTACTATCCATCTATCATTTTATACAGATGCAACTATAGACAGTATGTAAACAAATCAAAGTGGCGTGTGCCAACCAAACTTTATTGATAAAACCAAGTAGAGAGCTGGAGTTAGCCCACAGGCTGTACTTTACCATCCCATTTTAGAAGGTTCACTTTTTGCTGGACACAGAGAAGACCCCACTCTGGTGTTCACTCTGTCGGGGTCATCTTTGTCCAGTTGATCAAAAGAGTAGATGCCTGACACTTGGAAAAACGCTGAAGACAGGGAGAGATCAAGGACAAAGAGAGATGGTTAAATCATTTTATATTTGGTGTGTTTTAAAGTCTGATGGTCACAGTTTATGTGGATTCATGGGGGTTTTCATGAGTCAATTCTGTACTGTTGGTGGTCCCTTCAAAGAGCTCTGGTGGTGCTGTGGGCCAAGCATTAGGCTGCTAAAACTGCAAGGTTGGCATTTCAAACCCACCAGCCACTCCAGAGGCAGAAGAAGGATGAAGCTGTCTTCAGAAACTCTATGGAGCAGCTTGACTCTGTTCTGTAGGGTTAGTCGGAGCCGTGCATTGGGATGGGTTTGGGTTTGGGTTTGGTGGTCCCTTGCTTTCTACTGAAAATTGGTATTTATTTAACACACACACACACACACACACACACACACCCATTGATGAGTTTTTGGACTCTTGGTGTGGTGCTGTAGGATAAGCACTGTGAACCACAAGGTTGGCAGTTCGAACCTACCAGCTGCTACTTGGAAGCGCTGTACAAGATTGCTGCAAGGCATTTAACAACAGCAACAGTGATGTCTTTAGATTGTGTCCATTTGTTACTTTCACAAGTCGCAAAGCAGTGTGCTGTCACACATATACTCCCCACACAAGCATGTGACTTTTTCTGCTGAGCAGGTTCTGGCAGCACTGAGTCACAAGGTTGTTCTGAACACCTGATGGCTCCAAGTCGATTTTGACTCACAGTGACTCTGTAGGACAGTAGACCCGCCCCGGAGGGGTTCCCGGGCTGTCCTCTGGACAGGAGCAGATAGCCAGGTCTTCTATGACTCTGGTGCTTACCTGCTTCAGGAGGATCAGAGAGATGTGGGATAGCCTTTACAAATGCATGGCGAGTGCCTGTTGTCTGTAGAGGCTCGGGGGCCTGAAGCCTGTCCACAGGGGAGGGAAACTGCCCTCCTCCTGGGTAGCTGAGAAAGCTCTGTGCCAGACAGGGGCTCCAGTGTGTACGGAACCACTGACAAGGCTAGGTTTCAAGAAGGCCGAGTGCTCCTGAGGCTGGGTGCTGGGTCCCTAGCCTGAAAGCTGAGCTGAGCAGCAGGATGGGGATGTGGAGAAGGGGGTGGACCACCACTGAGACGGTCGGCTGGGGGCCAGAGGAATGTTTTCTCATCCACGCTGACGTTTTAGAGCCGTGGTGGTAAATGGCCTGCACATTTTGAGGCCGGTGGATGGGGACATGGTTCCATGGTAGAATTCTTTCTTGCAGTGCTGGAAACACAAGTTTGGTTCTTGCCCAGTACACCTCACATACAGCCACCACCCCACCCTCCACTCCATGGAGGCATACATGTTGCTATGATGCTGCAGAAATTTCAGCGGAGCCTCCTCACTAAGACCCATTAGGATAAACCCATTTGAAAAATCAGCTAGTGTAAACCATATGCATAGATCACGGCGTCCAATCCAGGATTCGATCCTGTTGCACATGAGTCGCCGTGAGTCTCATGGGGGGCTGACTTGATGGCAGCTAATGAAGGGCAGATGGGTGGACAGAGACTCTCGATTAGGGAGCTGTAGGACAGTGCTTGTGAGCATGTCCATGGGAGCTGTACTTTCAGAACGGGGTTTGAAACTTCCAGATTCTTTGAAACTTCACTGGGCTAGACATTTAGTCATGGAAAGTGAAGACTTCTGCAGCTACTAAAGGAATCCCAAAGCCCACATGAAGACCGGATTCTGAGTGGGCTGTAAAGTCCTGGGCTCTTCCCACCTCAGCCACTATTGTCTGTTGGAATAAAAGGCACAGAGGACTGGATGTGATGGCCATGGTCTGCCACCCACAAAGACCAGTTTCTGCAGTTGGGATGCTAGGGTGTGTGCCACAGACCCCTCAGTATCCAGTGAAATCTCTAGCAGATGTGGAGACGAGGAAGAGCACTAAGAAATGTTTGCAAAGCTCTTGAGAGAGAGCCCATCTCATTTTTCTGGGAGCTTTGGTGCTGCACTGGGTTGTAGATTTCTCTGAAGCCTTCTTAGCGGAAGTGGTTGAATCTATCATTTTGAAAAGAAAACGTTTCCTGTGTAAATGCAGCTAAGAGTTATGCAAACATTTAGAAATGACTTGATTTCTTTATTTTTGCTTTGTAGATTAAAAAAAAAAAACAAAATACCATGTCTAATGGTTATGAAGACCACATGGCCGAAGACTGCAGGGATGATATCGGGAGGACGAACTTAATTGTCAACTATCTCCCTCAGAACATGACCCAGGATGAGCTACGGAGCCTGTTCAGCAGCATTGGTGAAGTTGAGTCCGCAAAACTTATCCGTGACAAAGTAGCAGGTAAAGAAACGGAGCCGGTCTGCTGGGAAGGGGGCTTAGTGGAGGCCGCCCTGCTCAGTAGCTCACTCTTGACACGTGACTGCAGAGGCCCTCAGTGCAGATTGACTGCAGCCCTGAACTGATGGTGCCGTTCATTTCCGTCAAATGCTCTGTGCTCACTGTCCTCATGTAAGGTGGGAGTCCACGAGAGTGCAGATGGTTAATGCCTTGCCTGCTAAGTGAAGGTTTGTAGTGCCTGTCTACCCAAAGGTACCTCAGAAGAAAGGCCTGGTTAATTACTTCCAAAACAGCAGCTATTAAAGAGCCCTTGGGGCACAGATTGACACTGACACACATGGGACACCATGAGTCAGAACTGATTGGATGGGAACAGGTCTAGATGGGCCCTAGGTTCTTTTAATTAAATGTTTTTATTTTGGATTGAGTGAAAGTTTACAGGGCACATCATCAGCTTCACATTCAACCATTCATATAGCTTGTTTCATTACATTGATTATTATCCCCGCTATATATCATCAGAAAACAGTGTTTCTCTCTATCCTCTTTAGCTTTTTTTTTTTTGGAATTTACAGTCTCGGCTTTTAGGGAAGGTTTTTACATTTGTCTGTGGATATCCAGGGCTCATGTATGAGATTACTAACAAGCATTACTGAATAATCAGATGAGGGACAGTTTTCTATGTCTACTAGGTAGCTAAAGTCTGATCCTCAGAGCCTATGGTTTGGACGGTCAACAATGCTTGGGCCCACAGGGGCTTGGCCTCCTGACCGGGTCTGCATGGTCTGCATCTGCATCCTCCTTATTTATTGTTTGTTTAAGGGACGCTGCCTGTCTTAGGCGGTCAGTGCGAATTCCTCCGTCTTACCAGTCATTGAAACTCATTGCAGCATGGCAATGGCTCTGTCTTATATTGCCGAGGTTCCATGTGATCCTTACCCGTCTCTGGCCACACGTCCAGCATAAACAGCCACCATCCGAGGAAGGCAGGGAGGGAGGAGATCGGCTGGGGACCCCATACGTAAGACGTTGCCAGCCCCTAGGTTCTTAAAAGAGGCAAACTCACTTGTAAGATGCGAGCGTGTACAAAACAAGGCAGTAGGAGGGGCAGAAGAATGGGGAGACCCCAGAACCAGGGAATGCTCTGAGAGCTAGAGGGGTTGACAGATGCCCAAGGAGGGAGGGACCCTTGCAAGCCCAAGGCAGATCTGCCTCTGTCTTTCCCTGCCCCGTCCTCAGCTTGTGCGGAGCTGTGACAACCCTGTCTTAGCTCTGGGCCGCTGTGACTGCTCACTGAGCTGCCTGCAGCCTGAACTCAGGAGGCAGAGGTCATCTGACAGGTTGAGGTGCCACCTTGGAGTCACTCAGCTCTCTAGCCTCAGTGCTGGGGTGATGACTCCTTCATCCTGAGGTCCCAGCATTATGAGGGCTTGGCAAAAGGCCTATGTCTTGGTCTCCTAGGGCTGCTCTCCCAGGAGGACCCCAAAGAACCACATGTTGATTTCCTCATAGTCCTAGATGTTAACGGTCCAGATCAGACTCACGGCCGTGCCAGTGTCCCTGAGTCCTTGGTGTGGAGATAATGCTCACGTGGCAGCTGCCTTCCCAGTTTGTTCTCAAGTGTGTGCCCACTCTCCTCCTTTCATACCTCAGAGGCATTAGGTGGAGGACCCGACCGACCCAACACGGTTGCAGCAGCACGACAGAGCACACCTTCCAGAACGGGCTCACATCCACTGGTGTGGGTTCCAACACAGATTTGGGGGAACACAGTTTAGTCCACACCAGCCTGGCCACTTGTGGGGCAGCTTCCACTGAGAGCCTGGTTTCCAGGGCTGGAGAGACAGAGGGAGGACCAGGCGCTGAGAAACTTTTCTTCCTAGAGCGGGCATTGTGTAGGGAAACTCTCCTATCCCTTCTCTCTCTCTCTCTCTCTCTCTTCTGCTTTGGGAAGCCGGGCAATAGGTGGTCTCTGGAGGAAGGGCCCTCTGGATGCCACCCTGGCTTGTGAGTCTGATTCCCTTCTGGGAAAATGAATGAAAAATGAGAAAACATTTGAAGATTTTCAAGTATGGTGAATTCAGCCAGAAGAGCACAGTACCTGTGTCATCCTGCCTCATCAGCTCACACCATTTTACCTGTAATCGGGAGCATTCCTGTTACCAGGATGGCTCTTGGAGAAGGTGCTGGCCACTGACAATGAGCCCATAAGCCTATTAAGGACTCTCCCAGCCCTCTGATCCTGAGACTTGACAAACATCTTCTAAATAGGAACTCTTATTCATATTAATAGTAGAAGAATCGATGCTTTTGAGTTATGGTGTTGGGAGAATATTGAAAGTGCCATGGGCTGCCAAAAGAACCAACAGATCTATGTTGGAAGAAGTGCAGCCAGAGTGCTCCTTGGAGGCCAGGATGGCCAAACTTCGTCTCTCATACTTCGGATATATTATCAAGAGGGACCAGTCACTGGAGAAGGATATCATGTTTGGTAAGGTGGAGGGAGGGTCAGAGAACAAGAGGAAGACCCCCAGCATGATGGATTGGCAAAGTGGCAGCATCAGTGGGCTCAAGCGTGGCCACAATTGTGAGGTTAGCCCAGATTGGGCAGTGTTTTGTTCTGTTGTGCAGAGGGTCGCTATGAGTTGGTACCAACTCGATGGCACCTAACAACAACAATTAATATTGTGATATATATGTATGTATGTGTATACACACACACAGACACTCACACTTTTTTTCCCTGATAGCATGCAATGTTGAATAGTGTGAGAAGGTTTTAGAAGCCGCTGTCACTGCCACGACCTTATGTGACATAAGAGAGTCCTTTTCCCCAGGGCTTTTGAAATTCTCAAGGGCAGCTCACGAATTGTCTCACCAAGGGAGTGCCTGGTTCCCATTATGTGAGTGCTCTCACCGCTGCCTGACTTCTGTTCTGGGACCGTGAAAGGACTGTGAGCAACGCTGATAAGAACACCTCGATTTGATTTATTTGGGGGCCAAAGGGAACTGATGAAAGAGCAAACGTCTTGGAAATTATTTCTGTTCAAAGATAAAAGCCAACAACAAACCCATTGTCACAGAGCAGAGCTGCTCCCTCAAGGGTTTCTGGGCTGTCACCTTCACGCCCAGCTTCTTAGTTGGTCATGGGGTACTTAGCAGTATGCGCCACCCTGTAGTTCTTCACATGGAAGGAGTGTGGCTTTCAGAAAAAACTTCCTGCATTACCACTTCTTTCATCCTGCCACTTGTGCATGAAAGCTTGTTCACTGACCGTCCCTGTGCCCGGGCCCCAATCTCACTGCCCTTTTGTCCTTTTATTATACTGCGCAGGTGAAATCCAGTTGTAGGGACATTTGGTCAAGTGTATCCTCCCAGCTAGAGCTCAGCCTGTCACCCTCACCGAGAGACAGACTCTCACCTCCCAGCCAACAGACCCCTATCAGTCAACTCCCACCCCTATCTCCGCTGCCCACAAGATGAGCTGGTTCTCCACACGAGGTGTTTCCCACCTCGGGCTGGGTGACTCCTCTCCCAGCTGGTTCCCTCCTCCTCCTCCATAGAGCTGACCTCACAGCTACCCTGGGAACCTCGGGCTGTCTAGCACTCTCTTCCTGGGTGTCTCCAGCATCACCAGGCAGCCTCTTAACTCGCTCTAGTCTCCTGTCGCCCCGTGTAACGTGTTCTGTTCGCCCGTCTTTACCGAAGTCCTTTCTGGGTGCCAGCAAGGCAGCCCCTCAGCACTGCTGACCCAAGGACTTGGTATCCCTCTCTTTCTATTTAATAGTGGTTAAATATTCATTGCTATTAGGTGCCTTAATATTGCTTCGGCCCCATGGTGACCCCTATGTACAACATAATGAAACACTGATCCTGTGTCATCTTCAGAATTGCTCTTTCGTTTGAACCTATTGCTGCTGCCATAGTCTACTTCCTTGGAAGTTTTCTCTTTTTGGCCAACCCTCCACTTTACCAAACACGATGTCCTTCTCTAGGGACTGGTCCCTCCTGATAAGTAGATAGATAGATAGATAGATAGATAGATAGATGATAGATAGATAGATAGATAGATGATAGATAGATAGATGATAGATAGATAGATGATAGATAGATAGATAGATAGATAGATAGATAGATAGATAGATAGATAGCATGTCCGAAGTTTGAGCGATGAAGCCTCACCATTATCGCATCATTTCTGGCAGTCCACAGTACTTGCGATATTTTTCACCAACACCATAATTCAAATGCATTTCTTCTACAGTCTTCTTTATGCACTGTCCAACTTCCATATGCATTATGAGGTGATTGAAAATACCATGGCTTGGGTCAGGCGCACCTTAGTGCTCAAATTGACATCTTTGCTCTTTAGCACTTTAAAGAGGTCTTTTTCAACAGGTATGTATAAGGCAATATGTTGTTTGATTTTTTGATTGCTCTTTCCATGAACATTGATTGTTTGTTGTTGTTATTGTTGTTAAGTGCCATCGAGTCGGGTCCGACCCATAGCGACCCTGTACAGGGTTTCCGAGGGTGTAAATCTTTACGGGAGTAGAAAGCCTCATCTTTCTCCCGCGGAGCGGCTGGTAGTTTCGAACCGCTGACCTTAAGGTTCGCAGCCCGATTCGTAACCACTACGCTACCAGAGCTCCTTTCGGGTCCGACCCATAGCGACCCTGTACAGGGTTTCCGAGGGTGTAAATCTTTACGGGAGTAGAAAGCCTCATCTTTCTCCCGCGGAGCGGCTGGTAGTTTCGAACCGCTGACCCTAAGGTTCGCAGCCCGATTCGTAACCACTACGCTACATTGATTGTAGATCCAAGTAAAATGGAATCTTTGACAACTTCAGTCTTTCCATCAATTATGATGTTATGTTATTTATTGGTTCAGTTGTGAAGATCTTTTTTATTTCTTCTTTGCATTAAGGTGTAGTCTGTCCTGAAGGCTGTGGTCTTTGGTCTTCTTCAGTAAGTGCGTCAAGTCTTCTCTGCTTCCAGCAAGCC